CGGGGCAGGCGCCCGGCCCGGCCGTGCAGCAGGGCTGCGTGCCCGCGCTCCAGCAAGGGCCCAGCCAGCAGCAGCAGGTCTGCAAAGCGCCAGTCGCCTGCAAAACGCAGGTCTGCAAAGCGCCGGTCGCCTGCAAAACACAGGTCTGCAATGCTCCGGTCACCTGCAAAGCACCGGTCGCCTGCAAAACGCAGGTCTGCAAAGCGCCGGTCGCCTGCAAAACACAGGTCTGCAATGCTCCGGTCACCTGCAAAGCACCGGTCGCCTGCAAAACGCAGGTCTGCAATGCTCCAGTCGCCTGCAAAGCACCGGTCGCCTGCAAAACACAAGTCTGCCAAGCACCAGCCAGGAAGATCAAATAAGAGGATCCAACAAGGAGATGGGAGAGCAAGAGAAATGTCTCCTCCTCCCGCCTGTCCTCGTGCAACCTGAAGCAATGAGTAGGATTCTGAGTGTGATCACTGAGCTGTGATCCTGTGATTTTTCCTCTTCCTCTTGGGCAATGTAACACGGACATGCTCTGCACTGTAACAGCTCTAGCAATAAAAAGATTCCCATCGCAGTCCCCTCGTGTCGGTGTTTTCCGCTTCATCCCTCCCTGCTGCTCCTGTCCCTTGGTCTGAAGCTGCCGTGTCCCCAGCCACCCTGGGGGTCACCTTACTCCAACTGCTCCATCGCAGCCACTGCCTCAGCACTGACTGTAGGGAGGATGGGGCCAAAATCTTCTCAGTGGTGGCCAGTGACAGGACAAGGGATAACAAACTGAATCCCAGGCAGCCCCATCTGCATGTGAGGAAGAACTTTGGTGTGAGGGTGCCAGAGTCCTGGCACAGGCTGCCCAGAGAGGCTGTGGAGGCTCCTTCTCCGGAGATCTTCCAAACCCGTCTGGATGCGACCGGCTGCCCCGTGCTCTAGTGTCCCTGCCGGAGCAGGGGTTTGAAGTAGGTGATCCCTAGGGATCCAACCTCAACCATTCTGGGCTTCTGTGACATAAACCAGCCAGACACCTCCCCAGAGAGGTGAAAATCAGAGTCTTTCTGGGTGCTGGAACGGCACCAAGGAAACTAAGGCAGGTTCTCAAGCAAGAGGCAGGTGACCGGGCAGACCCACTCGCTCTAGCAGGGTGAAACCCTGCGGGCACCGACCACCCTTCGTGGCCATGGGCAGAGCCAAAACCCCGGGGCAAAATCCACAGTGTGGAAACCCATTTGGGTCCCAGCGGTGGAGCATCGTCCCGGCAGGCCCTGCGCGGGGGGCGGCTCCATCTCCCGCGAGGCGATAAACAAGTTTGCCACCGCCCCGCTCTAATTAGTGCTGTGCTGTGAATAATGGTTTCACCCAAATCTTCATTCTTCTGCTGTTTGTGCAATGTACCCAGGCGCGCTGGGGCTCTCCCCGTTCCCGTGATTCCCACAGCCTCCTGCTGTGCCGAAGGTGCCGCTTGGGCCTGGAGATGCAGCTGAGCACTGAGAGCACCAGAAGTTGCCTGGGATCCAAAGAAGCCCCAATTTCCTGAGCCCTCCCGTGTGTCAGTGCTTTCCTTTCCCTGCAATGTGTGCACAGGGTGCAAACACGAGAATATTCCACTATTAACGTCAGCTCCGGGGATCAGGGCAAGGAGGAACCCCGAGTCCAACCGCTTTGGCCGGGGGTGCTGGTGGGTGGCACGTAGGATGGGATGAGCCTGAGGATGGGATGAGCGGGGACAGTGGGGAGCTGCTCCAGCTCCTTCTTACGCCAAGGGGCATCTCAGCACCTTCTTGAGCATCTCCAGCCTGATCTTCTTGCTCTCAGGCTTGTCCCTGCTTTTATCCCTTGTCCTGTGCCCTCTAGGACTGATGCCCTGAGATGGGAACCCAGCAGATCCAGGGCCTTTTTGGGGTCATGGAGAGGAGAAGGAAGCCTGAGGACCTGAGACGCTTCCTTGGGGAAGCCCAGGAGTGTCGCATCCCCGCTCCGCTCTGGGAGGGAAGAGGGGGCACTTTCTGCTCATCTTTGCTGGGATCATTCCCAGGTTCCTTCAGCTCCATCCCAGCAGCAGGACTCCAAGAGTAAAGCCACACAAGACGGGCCCATAATTAGGCCGAGATTTAATTTAGCAAAACAGGCAGGGGCAGACGAGCCCTGGAAGCGCGGGCAGCCACGGTTTTCCCCATCGAACAGGTGAGGCTGCCAATTAGACACTTATGCAGCACAGGAAGCAGATAAAATGGGACCGATATCCATCACCGGTGAGTCAGGCGAGCCCAGTAAACAGCGGGCGGTCGTGTGGGGATTGGGCAGGACAGTAACAAATCGCGGTGACGGGGAGCTGTCTCATTTCCGGATAGGGGACCCGGGATCCGTATAAAGCGGAGCCCGTCCTGGCCATCCTCATCCGCTTCTCCTCTCAGCTTCTCCTTCGAGTGCAGGTAAGCTGCACGCATTCCCGACAGGACGTCTCCTCGCGGAGCAGCAGCCTCGCTCCGAGGCTCTGCCGGC